AGGTTCACACAGGCCCACCTCTCCAGCCTGTTCTATCTGTTTATATCTGTTGATCACTCCAAGCAGGGAATAATCTCTAGCTGGTAGGTGGTAAGTAACAGCCTGAGGCACTTATCAGCACAAAAGGGGACTTTTCCCATGCTTTTTACAGCTAGCTGAGAAGGCTAAGAAGTTTCTTAAGGAGGCAAAACAGTGAAACTGTTAGGCTGTATGACTGGATTATTCCATATGAAATGCATTAATTCTAAATAGTTAAGTATTATAAAGTAGAAGTCTATATATCAGCAAAAACTAAATAGAAAACACCGCTTCCTTACAAGTAACAGTTCCTTAAAAAATTTTAAATATATGTATATAAACACACACCAGTGCTTCTGAGTGGTAATAAAATTACTGACTGATTAGAACAGTTCAGAGATCAGAACCGAGTCTGGCAAGATCAACAACCAAAACCATGGAGTTACGCTACATGATTCTGTTGTTCTCCTCGATTCAGCTTACCTTATCATGCATAGTCCACCCTACATATTTTAAGTAGCTGTCATTGAGAAAGGCATCGCTGTACATCTTCATCCATATTCCAATCTCTTCAATACAGATAGCTCTGATTTCAGCAATTGCATCTCTGCAGAGAGAAGTGGGGCAACAGGATCAAATCGATGAGTAATTAGAAATAAACTGTCACCAGCTTCCAAAATAAATTAATGAAGCTACAAATTACTTACTAAGAGACACTTACCGGTATCTATGCACAAAAACACCTTTAAATATTGCATTCATCATGTTTTCTATTTCATCCTGATTTTCCTGAAGCTGAAAGAATGAACAGAGTACAAAAACAGTAAGCAGCACTTCTACAGTCAGATCAGATGGTGCTGATGCTAGACAAGCTAAATTAAGTTAATATTTGCCAAGTGTGGCCATGAAACCTGTTCCTGATATAGTCACAAATCTGTTTCACAGTACAATATGCTATTATTTAAGGAACTGTATTTACAACAGCATACAAAGTTTAGTAATTCTGACCACTGGAAAATTGTTCTTCAACTGTAACAGACACATCTGAGGTTTCTGCAAGCTTCTTAAATTATTTATAAGAAAACTTGATTTAATTTGCTAGTAACTTTTTAAGCCCAATGTTCAGCCTAATGCTTAATACACTTACTATGTTTTTATGGACACATATACACAGAACAATACCCAAATCATGTAAATTGCATTACAAGGAGTCTTTTCTCTATGCTAAAGAATTTGTAATCTAAAAAGACAAGATACAGATTAAGAATTTTGCAAACGGCTACACGAGCATCATGTACACTGTTTTGAATACCTCTTTCCTCCTCATCTATAACTTAGAGACAAAAAACCCACAGAAACCGAGTAAGGTGTTGCAGAAAAAATTAATTTAAGAATTAGGAGCTGAAAAATAATGCAGGAGACAAATTGAGTCTCATGTTAACAACACAAGAGCAAGACAAGCAAATGAGTTGAAAAGTGATATGTGCAGTGTTTTAAAACATAGAAAATTGTGTTTGCTTTGAAAGTGCAAGAAAGTCAGTTAAAAGATTTGAGAATAACTAAACGCTGTCATCAGACACGCAAATTCTTTTTGCAGTTTGAACTATAAATTAACTATAATTTGAACTATAAACTAGGACAAATTGACACAATGTTAATGAGAACAGTCAAGGACTGAGGAAGTCGGCATCTTGGTGGAGGAGATTGCAGGGGGGAGACACGAGTTAACACCCCTCCATCCCCCAAACCACTCACAAAGAAAACAACAGAGGTGTTACTCAGACTGGGGAGGTGGGGAAGGGCCCCACATGGGCAGGGGAACGGATAGAAAAGGTAGAGGACTTTTCCTACAGAAGTTTAGGAAAACAGCAAGAATGAACAATTTCCATAGCATCCCAAGATTTAGGAATTTATGGAAGAAAGGAAAAACTGTAAGGAAATACAATAAGAAGAAAGAGTAAGCAGCAGGAGAAAAGGACTAACAAACAAAAATATTTAACGCATTCTGGGCCTAAATCTAACACAACCACAGCAGCCTCTGAAATAAGAAGGGGGAGGAGGGGGGACGGGAGGAGAAAATCAAAATATTAAACCAAAAGACATGCAAAAAGAATCCATGAATAAAGTGAATTCTAATACTGGATTAGGCTGAGTTATAAATGAAAAAAAAAAGAAATCAATCAAACAACTGAATGCTACTTCGAAGCTTACTTTCATCTGGTACAAGGAAAACAGAAAATGAAAACCAAAACTAGAAAAGCCAATAAGAAATCCTAAAAGAGCAACTGAGATTGGGAAAAGTCTTGATTCTCACATCGCTGCCTTTTCTGTGTATCTATGCGTTATTTATAATAGGACAGGTCCTGCACACACACCTAGCACAACTATAATGGGTGTTTAAGGGATCAGTCTTAAACTGCAAGATCTTGGTGGATGCTCCATCCCTGGAGACGTTCAAGGCCAGGTTGGACAAGGCCCTGAGCAACCTGATCTAGTTGGAGATATCCCTGTTCCTTGCAGGGGGGTTGGACTAGATGACCTTTGAAGGTCCCTTCCAGTCCTAACCATTCTATGATTCTATGATTCTTTGTGAGATGAACAAAGTACAAAGTTGTTAGTTTATCTGAATCATCAATAAAGTAAAAACATTCATAGGTAACAGCATAAAACTTGAAGAACAAAAGATGATTCTTTTGATCACGAGAAGGTTATTTCTGATGTCTAAAACAAAACAATAACAAAAAAACACAGTTCCCCCAAAAGTAAAAACTTAAACCTGAATGAATAAGGGCTTTCAGCAAGACAGCACTGTCAGCAATGAATCAGCAAGTCCTTTTTATACAAAAAGAAAGAAAACAGATGTAGATTGCATTTTCAATTTTGATAGTGTTTTCTGTAGAAGAAAAAACCTTATCTAAAGCCTTTAAACACTTTCTGCTGAGATCGTACTGACATCATAAAAGTAGTATTTTGCCCCAAGATCATGGGGTTCTTCTCTAGACGCCAGAAACAGTCAATGTATGTTAATTTTTGTCACATATTAGAGCTCAGTTTAGGGAACTAGTCAAGACATACAACAAAAAGTTATCTATTACTGATTGCAGCCTCTCTTGCTAACTTTACTAAGATGGCACTAACTGAAAATTTTTTCAGAGTCTACGTTTATCTTTTTACAAAAATAAAAAGATGGTAAGAAGCACCTTTCGAAGTAATTTTTTCAAACATTAAACATGAACAACTTAATTACTAACTACCTTTACCAAAAAAAAATTACTGAACAAGATTACTGTCATTTATTAACACTCATCACATGTAGGCCAGCTACAGACAGTTGCACTAACCTCCTTTCTCTTCTGTAGTAAGAGTTCCAACCTATCATTAGCTCGTTTCCCAATTATTTTATTTCGTTCTGCTTCATACTGCCGTTGCGTGTTGTCCATGTTAATACTAAGATTTAATGCCACATTCACTAAAGCAGTCATCAGCTTCATGGCTACAAAATGGTGAAAAGAAAAAGGGTTATTGAAAAGGTTCCCTGATCTAAGAAAAATGATAAACAAAAGTCTTGATACCTTCTCCTGTCAACCCTTTCTGTATTTATGAAAAATACATTCACAATAAATTTCTTGATACGCAAACTTTAGCAGTGGTTTACTAAGCACTGCATCATTTTTTAATCAACACAATACATAAAACATTGACCTTTTGTTCTTTTCTTTCTGTCCATTTTTTAAAACTATAAGCATTATTGTTGAATTGACACATAGGATATGCTTCCTCCAAAAAAATGAAGGTGGAACATAAGATTTACAAACATGGAACCAGAAATATTTAAAAGATTCCATTATGAGAATCATTTAGTAGACTGGTATTACTACATGAACCTCAAACATACAAGAAGTGTCTTTCTTCACAAGGAAATGTCTTAGACAACCAATGTCACCTACTGCACCATTCTTATCCCCTCAATTTAATGAAAGGCAGTTTTCTTTAAATATTCCTTTATTTGCAGAAGCAGAGAAAGGACCTTAGCCAATTAGAAGCCAGAGAAATGACCAAAATGTAAAACACTTGGGTGGGACTTCTTTGCAGTGCAGATAAACATGCCTGTTCCAGAAACCAGGAGATGGCCAAAAGCATACTCGCTTTTCTTACAAGCTTTCAGTAACACCTACGCATGAAAAGGGCCTGCACTGGCAGAGCACGCACAGAACATTATTAAACATATACCACCAGCAAAAAGCTGATGAGTGAGGCATAAAGACATGCAGATATATCGAAATATCGTCACACACTGTGATCTCCAAGGATATCAAGATGAAAAGAACAAGTCTGTGCTCATCAGAGTCAAAATTACTGCAAATAACAGCATGTGTGAATACAAGAATTTTTGTCTCCAGCCCATATAAAACACAATCTTCCAGAAAACAAACCATAATCTCGTATGAAATGCACAAGTAATTACACAAAATCAACAGAATAGACTACTGACATGAACAAATGCAAACAGACTACTAATAAAAATTATTTTGTGCAGCAGAAATTAACATGCAACAGGGAAACTTCTGCAACTTTTATTCAGACACAACTCAAAAAAAGTAGCAAAATTATTTTTTTTTTTTTAAGAACTAACAGTTGTTATCAGTCACATGGTACAACAGTCAAATTGATGATAAAGCAGAATGAATATATTCTCCTGAAATAAAAGGTTTTGTTCCTCTCTCCACAATAAATGGCTTAGCTAGTGGGAGTCTCATAGCGGCAGCACGCTGTGCGGTGGGCTCATGTACATTCAAAAGATGATCGAGGAAAGAGAACCACAGATCAGATAGTCTGAACTGAAGCTAACTGTACATCAGCCAGCTCCAGCGAACCTAACAAGAACTATTTCCAGTGTGGCAAAAACTCAGTTTCACGTACAGTCCAAAAATCACCTTGTTCAGACTAAAATAGCTGTAAGTAGCCTTACAGAAGTGGACTGCTGCACAAGGCCATCTGAAACCCTTCTTCATTAATCAACACAGGTTTAGGACTTCCTTACCCAAGCAGCTTATCCTTCGTCCATACAATGATGTATTTATTTAAAACACTCCATACTTAACTCACAAGGGATGCCTTTATAATTTAACACATTTGGAAAAAAAACAAAAAAAAATAATCATGTAAAGAGGACAATTACTTCATACAGAAACGTAGTTACTGTCTCACTGATGAAGCATTCGTTAAGGTTCTCTCTAATGCAATGAACGGCCATGCTACTTTCAATCACCTCGTGCCATGGCCTCAATATACAGCAAAATTTAAATTTGTAGTAAAAATTGCATCTAATCTAAAATATGACTCCTGCTTGACTTAATGCAGAGCATAAACAGGTTCAACTGCATTTGGTGTTAAAAAGATATCTATGCTCCTATAATGACCAAAGAAAAACTTGTAGAATCAACTGAAAAGCTTCCTTCTATCTACTTTTCCTACTAGACTTTACGCTAAGAAAAATTAAGTACTAGACAGCTGGTAAGGAACGCTCTAAAACAACGCTGTGTTTTCCAGGCCTGAAAAAACAATAAAGATAAGAAAGCTGCACCAAGTCAAGTTGCATTAGAGGAAAACTGTATCACACAATGAAACACAAGTTGAACATCGAACAACAAGTTCAACAACGATTCTTCGGCATGCAACACAAAACGTAAAACAGAAGCAATACACAGATACATAGAATTCACTGACCTGCCAGTGTGCTAGTGTGCCGAAACGCTCTGACTTGTGAGTCTGACAGCCCCGTAAGCAGTGAAATGACAGTATCCATCATATATTCATCATATATGATGCTATATTGACATTGTCGGACGAGTACTCCAATGAACTCACAAAAACTGGATTTGAACTTCTTCCACTGTGGACCAGCCATTGTTAGTGGATAATCTCCACTATCCTATTAGAAAACAAAAAAAAAAAAA